CAGGAAGATCACAAGTTCAACCTTAGCCTGAGCAGTTTAGTTCCTTAGTGAGACCCTGTCTGGAAAAATTAAAAATGGCTGGAGATATAGCTCAGTGCAAAGGTCCTCCAGCACTGAATAAACAAATACTATATAATCAACTATATATAAAACTATAAGACAATCATGGAAAGTTGAACACTGAATACCTAATTCTATTAAGGAATTATTAATTTCTTATAGGTACAATAATAGAATTTTTTAAAAAGAAATGCTGGTATTTTTATTTTGTTTTGTTTTGTTTTCTGAGACAGGGTCTCACTACATAGCTCAGGCTCTTTTAAACTTGCTATGCAGTCCAGGCTGGCTTCAACTCAAAATCCTCCTGCCTTAGTTTCCCAGAGTGGAGAACCCCCAATTTTCTGCATCATACCCAGAAAATTTTTGCAATTTAGAAATACATATCAAAATATTTAGGATGAAATGATACAGTGTTTAGGATTTGCTTCAAAATAACCAGGGAGAGGAGTGAAAATTAGGTAGGGATGTAGGAAAGATAGTTTTGAACAGATTAACTATCAAAGCCATGTGAAGGTACATGGAGTTCATAATACTATTCTTTCCCACTTTATGATGCTTGAAATTTCCTATCTAAAAATGGAGGGAGGGGACAGGAGAGATTAAATATTTTCCTGTCATATCATTTTACTAAATTCCAATTATATTCTCAATCCCACAGGTGGGTGAACTCACTTGCAACTGCATTCTCAAGAAACAACTAAAGATACCCTTGGACTTCCCCTTCCTCAGTGACCACTTTTTCTGCCTCAATTACAATCTTTCCAAAAGAAGGCTTTCATCCTTAATGCTTTCTCCATTTGTTGGTCTCCTTTTATAATTTGCCTTTAGCCTTAATGATTTTTAATTAAATGTAAAAACTTGCTGAGTTTTCATATTAAGTGGTTTCTTGAACGATAATCTCCTTTGGTTTCTCCATTTCATTTTCTCCTCTGTTTTGGCAAACGAAAAAAATGGTCCAGAATTTTGACTCTGAGGCAAACACTGCTTGATCACATTAGAAGAAAAAGATCAGGGCTAAGGGTATACATACATCAGGCCATTGATTCAGTCCCCAGAACCACAAAGATTTTCAGAGCCTAATACCAGCCCATGTCTCCACTACGAATAAGTCTCTACTGAAACAACAGATTCCTGTCGAAGAACAATGTGAAAGGCACCATGCCAATCAGGTTACCTAAACAGTATTAGGCATTACAGTAAGCCTAGGACACAGGTACTATTATGTATCCCCATTTAGGCAAGACTTCTAAATCTCACAGCTTTAAGAGCAGTCACGATTTGAACCCAGGATTCTGGCTCTAAGACTTGCACTTAACACCAAGCTACACCACCTCCTGGTAGAAGCCAGCTCATGGGTGACTACAAGTGTCAAACGCCTGTAATCTCAGCATTTGGGAGGCTTAGGCGGGAGGATCACCACAAGTTCAAGGCCAGTTTGGGCTACAAAGTGAGTTCAAGGCTAGCCTGAACTGCATAGTGGAGCCCTGTCTCAAAAAGACAAAAAAATAAAAATAAATAAAGAAGAAGAAGCCAGCTTCTGACATCTTTGCTGTGGTAACTCTAACATTCAAGATCAGAAATCATCTTAACTATTTACACCTTGTTTTGTAACCAGAAGTTTCTTATTAGAAGAATAAAGTGCAAAAAAAAAAAAAAAAATCAGAAATCATAACTAGATTCAATCACTTGCTTTGGAAACAAAAGGTAGACTAATCTCCCAGAAAACACCCTACCCCAGTCTCCTCATTAAAATAACCAATGTCACAAATCCTGTTCTTGCATAGCAAAAACAAAAGTCACATAACTTATATTTTAAAGATCGAGATCTTTAAAAGTTAAAAACAAAGAGAAGTATCCCTTTTGCCTTGCCCCTCTCCACCTCCAGAAATATGCAGGCGGAAGGCAGGGCCAGGGGGCGCTGAAGATGGCACAGTGAGAGAAGACAGGCTCTATGAGGGTAAGCTGGTCCTTCTAATTGAATCCAGATCCTAGAGTGACCAGAAAGCCAGGGGCCAGCTGCGAGGCTACCCTGAGTCACTCCTATCTCCACACACAACACCCAAGAATGACTTAGCACCAAAACACCAACACGACTCCAGAGGACAGAGGAATGGAGGGTGAAGAGACTCAGAGTCCAGGGACTAAACTTCACAAACACTCAGGACACGAAGTTCACACCCACCTCCCTCTCACTTCCAGCCTCCCCACCAAACCCACTCCCGCGGTGCTGCGACCGGGAAGGGCAAGAGCAAAGCACAGTCCCCGGAGGAGCTCAGCAACGGGAAGAAGGAAAGGGTGACAGGACAGGACAAGACAGACCTCAAAGGATGAGTTAGAGGAAGAAATGGAAGGGGCTGGAGCATGAACGAATAGCCCAAACGTAAAAGCCAAGGACCGGAGAAGGAAGCTTGGAGGGCAAGTGGGAAAGACTGACAGCTCGGAGGGAGCGGGAGGAACGCGGAAGACAAAGGGGCTGAAGAACTGCAAGCCCTCCGGGACCAGGAGCTGCTGCCCTTCGGCTGTGCACAGAGGTACACGGGCCAGCCAACTCGGGCGCCCACAGCTCTGTGGCTGCGGGAGCTGCACTGCCGGCGGCGAGGGCCCTGGGCGGGGAGGGACTGCAGAGAGGCGCCAGACCCGAGCGGAATCGGGGCTCTGGGAATGAGGAGCGCCTGAGAGTCAGAGGTCTCGAACTGGCGCTCTGTGAACCCGGCAAGCACCGGGGTCAGCGGACCAGGCAGGGAGCCAGGGACTGCTTGTGACTGATGGAGTCAGGGGAGGAGTGTTCGGCCTCGGGAGGTCAGAGAGCTGCAGGTGACAAGGGCCAGGACCCCGGCGGCTGGTGACTGGGGGCCGGGGAGAGACGGGGCGTGGGTCTACAGACAGCCGGGCTCAGGGACTCGGGGCCGGAGTGTGCAGCTGGGGCGGCGGGAGCCAGGGCGGCTGGGTCGGGCGACAGCGGCGGGGCCGCCACTCACCGCTCATGGTGCCGCTCCCCGAGCCGGTGCCTGCGCCGTGCGGCCGCCACCGCTGCGTCTGCCGCCACCGAGCTCCACACAGGCCGGGCGACAGCGCGCCCGCCCCGCCCGCCGGCCCCGCCCCGGAAATAGAATCCCTCCACCGAGGTCCCGCCCCTCGCCCCGGAAGCTAAACACGGAAGCCGGCCGGGGGCGGAGCCCGAGGGCCAATGTGTGAGCCGCGTGGGGCTGTCAGGGTAAGCTGGTCTGGTAACTGGTAAGGAGTAGTCTCCGCGCCATCGTGCGCCCCAATCCTGTGTCCCAGCGTCAGACGGTGAAAAAGGCCACGAGTAAGGAGATGATAGCGTTCTAGAAAGGGATGCGAGCTGGAAGGGAAATGTAAAAAGAGTAATAGACCAAAGCGTGGGTGCAGGCGCAATGGGCAACCCTAGAAGGCCTCTCTAAAGAGGTGATTTGGGGACCAGATCTGGATAGTGGGGAGAGCCGTTCAAGGAAAACTATTCCAGGAGGAACAAATGCGGAACCTTGCTTGGAAAGTTTGACTGAATGAGGGTGAGTGAAAAAAGGGTGGTGAGAGGCCGGACGTTGAAAACTGCCGGGAGACCTTTGCAGCTTGTAAAGAGTTGCTTGTTTTTTTTTTAAGATCGCTTTGGTTTGTATTCAATGTGAATTGTTGATTAGGACAAAAGCAGTGAGAATGAAGTTTTACAAATACTGCAAAATTACTACATCACTGATATGTGCCTTTACACGTACGTATAGGAAAAATAACATTAGAATTGAGGCAGTAACAACATGCACAAACCAAGCACATTAACCCTGACAGTCCTTGGTAAAAAGCTGTTTTGGTTAGGTGATGGTTACTGCTGCATGCAGGTCAGTCTGCTTTGAAGGATAAGCTATGAGTAGCTTAACCTTTTCAAAAGTTCCCTCCTACTGGCCCAGAGTGGTGACAAGGAGCCTTCATTAATCACTTGTGTCACTTGCAATCATTTGCCCAGGGAGCAAGAACTCAGAAATATGTACCGATTGAGATCTTGTACACAAGAGCAAATGAAGAAATCCGAGAAATTGGGGCTGGGGATTTAGCTCAGCGGCACAGCGCCTGCTTGGCAAGCACAAGGTTGTGAGTTCGATTCCTGGTACCGGAAAAAAACAAAAACAAAAAAAAAAGAGAAGTTGTCAGGTGATATCAGTCAGACTTAGGACAAAACCTTGAAGAGGACAGTGTTTGGATACATCAGGGCGTTTTGAATGTTTAAATGTATCCACATGCCAGAGAAATGGAGATGAGAACCAGAGTATAAACCAGGAAGAGACTCAAGAAGATGCTCAGAGTGTATCAAGTGGATGAAAGCAGACTCTGGACAGATGAATCTTCTTTGAACGTGATCCTGGCCACAAGCAGCTTTCCTCAGCTGAAAGCTGCCATGGAGGCTTACTCCAAGATGGCTAATTGGGATTTGTTAAGCAGCATCAGCCATAAGTTATCTGGATACATTGAAAGTGGTTTAAAGACCATCTTGCAGTGTACCCTGAATTGTCTTGCCTTTGCTGAGCAGACCTACTGTTCTATGAGAAGTCCCTAGCACAGATGAGGCTGCCCTGGTTAGAATTGGGGTTTCTCAAAGTGAGATTGAGCTTGTACAATGAATTAGGTTTTAAATCATCACTCTTTCTGGAATGAGAATGGATTGTAATGGGACAGTAGAGAAAGGCAGCTGGCTAGAGGATGAATGCAGTTGCTATGGCAAGAGGTAATAGTGTCCAATCCTAGGGTAGTGGTAGAGGTAGAGATGGTGAGTGGATTGAGTGTGAACACAAGTGTTATACATTCACAACAACTTCTGAAGTCAGAGTTATTGTGTTGCTTTACAGATGGTAGAAAAAGGAGCCAGAGAGATTGGAGCATTTGCCCAATTTGTTTTGCCCCACACTCTTTTTTTTTTTTTTCCCCACACTCTTGTCATTGGCTGGTGACAGTCCTCTTGAGGCCAAGGCTAGGGCCTGGCTCACACTGGCTGGGAAAGTAGGCATGACTTGTTAATTAAAAAATCCTAGGACACTTGTGCAGAACAGTTCCCAAATCCCTGAAGATGGGCTTCTGGTGGTAATTTAAGTAGGTTTTTGATAGGATAGCCCCAGACCTTATGCCAGACTCAGGAATGGGAGATACAAAAAAAAAAAAAAACAGTTGCTATTGAGCTCTCACTATTCTGTCTCTTCATGGTAGTCCACCCTCAGGCTACAGGGTATACCTCCTTTCCTGAACAGCCTATTTCTTTTCTTATTTTTAATAAATGTAAAACTTTGGTACTGTCCAGTCTTGTTTTTGTAAAAGCCCAACCACAGATATAAAAGGTTCTGGTTTAATTCCCTGTTCCCACCCCTGCCACGTGATTTGATGTTCATGTCAATCATTCCTGGAATGTATGGTGGGTTGTAAACACCCTGCCCTTCTCCAAATCCCAAAATGTATTGTTCTTCCCATAAATGCTGTACCCCTCCCGGATTCTGGGAATGTACTGTTCTTCCTGTGAAAGAAATCCCTCCCTCATTGTTACAGATGTGACATGTGTTTGCCAAACAGGATGCGGTTTTAGGGTTTAAAAACTACACTCATCCCTGGATCTGGACTGGTCTGATCTTTCCCTGCGTGGAGGCTCTCAGTCAGTCCCTGGCCGGGAATAAAGGCTCATCCTAAATTCCAATTGGCGGTCCGTGCGTCTTGGTGTTTGTCAGTCAGTGCCATTTGGTTCATTTCTGGTTGAGAGTCCAGAACATTTGAGGTCCCACTGAGATACCCTACAGGGGGCGCCACGAAGCCGTATCACTTTACCCCCGGCAGCCACCTGTCAGGGGGCCTCTCGAGAAGACGTTTCTCGACCCCAACAGGCTTCCCTGCCTAGGGTAAAGACTAAATTATTTCTATTCGACTTGGAGCCATTTGTCTTCTTACCAGTAAGAGTTTTCTTATTTGTTTTTGGGGCACCCCATTTGGATCTCCCGGATGGCAGACATGCCTTTAAGTGCCAAAGAGATTTTGGTTTTGGTTTATTTCACTGTTGTTTTTCCATAGTTTGTTCTTGTCTTGTCTAAATGAGTCAGTCTGCTTCTGTGTCGCTTATGCCACTTCAATGTGTACTAAACCATTTTTCTGATTTCAAACAGAGAGCCACCAGCTGTGGTGAGCCGGTTTTTCCAGGCAAACTGTAAACATTTTGTGAACTTGAGTAGCCCGAATATAAGGTTAATTGGCCACCAGAAGGAAGTTTTAACATATCTATTTGCCAACAGGTCCGCCAAGTTATATTTGGCAATCCAGGACACCCTGACCAGATTATCTACATCCGGGTGTGGATCGATATCATCACAGACCCCCCTAAGTGGGTCAAAAAGCATTTTCCTCACAAGGTCCTTCTTTCTCAGCCCTGCCAAACTCCCAAGCTGGTTTCCCTTCCTCCAGTCCTCCAAGGACCCCCTGATTCACCCAACTGTCCTACCCTCTACCCTCGGTCCCCCACCTTACCCTACCCCTGACTCATCACGATCTTCTGGTCCCCCTGCCCTTACCAGTCCTTCACATACACGGAGCGGCCAACCTTTTGGGGAGCTACCCTTCGCCTCCAATCTGCTCCCCGACTCCTCTAACACTTCTCCGCCTCCCTCTGCTCCCCTGGCTCTCCTCCCCCTTCACGAGGTGCCCCGTGCCAACTCAGAAGAAGGCCCATTCCTACTTCATGTTCCCTTCTCCACCACTGATTTGTTCAGTTGGAAACAAGAGTACCTGCCTTTCTCAAAGGATCCCTAGGCATTGATAACTCTTACTGAATAAATATTTGCCACTCACTGGCCCACCAGGGACGACTGCCAACAACTCCTGCAGGTCCTGTTCACTTCAGAGGAACGGGAACGTGTCCGCTCCCAAGGGCAAAAGGCCATTCTCAGACCCGACAGCCAACCTGCCACCGATCCTAGACTAATAGAACAACGTTTCCCATCCACCCGCCCAGATTGGAACCGCAGTGGATCTGCAGGTAAGGAGGCTCTCGATTGGTATCACCAGACTCTCCTTGGTGCCATTAAGGCCGTGGCCCGCAAGCCAACTAATTTGTCTAAGGTAACTGAAGTTAGTCAGGGGCAGGATGAATCCCCAGCAGCATTTCTTGAGCACCTCCAAGAGGCTTATCATATATACACCCCAATTGATCCGGAGGTACCAGAAAACAGGTGAGCTCTTAACATAGCGTTCGTCACCCAGTCGGCCCCAGACATTAGGAAAAAGTTACAAAAGTTAGAGGGTTTTCAGAGAAAGACACTCTCAGAATTGGTAGAGGTGGCTCAAAATGTCTTTAACAACCGGAACGATCCCTGGGAGCTAAACGAGAGGATGGCAGAAGTTCTGTTGGCCATGGGAGAAAAGGCCCAAAAAGGGACAAACAAGCCCACGACTGGGACCAAAGATAATAGACCTTCCTTGGGGAAAAATCAATGCTCCTATTGCAAGGAAGAGGGCCACTGGAAAAAGGACTGTCCAGAGCTCAAAGAAAAAGGTCCCACAGTCTTGAGCACACAAAAAGCAGATTGAAAAAAAAGTCAGGGCTCCCCTGGTCCCCAGGAGCCCTGGGTAACGCTTACTGTGGGGGGCCAAGAGGTCCAATTCCTCGTGGACACGGGTGCCACCTTCTCTGTTCTTCAATGGCCCATTGGACCTCTCTCTTCTATAAAAACTAACATTCAGGGAGCAACTGGTAAAACTAAGGCCTACCCCTGGTCACGGGCAACCATAACAGACTTGGGAAAACAAACCTTGAGCTACTCCTTTTTGGTCATGCCTGAGTGTCCCTACCCGCTACTTGGGAGAGACCTTTTACATAAGTTACAAGCCCAGATCTCTTTTGCAGAGGAAGGCCCAACTGTAACTTTTTCCAATGGGATTAAGCCCCCTGCTATTTTGTTTACTTGTCCTCTCACGGAGGGACACATTCTTACCACAGAACCCCCAGGGCCCCCAGAACAAATATCCAACCTGCTTCTAGAAATGTGGAAATTACAAGTACCTGAAGTATGGGCAGAGGACAATCCTCCCAGTTTGGCTTCCCACCAGCCCCCAGTTGTGGTAGCCCTAACTGCCACCTCTGTGCCTATGCAAGTCCGACAGT